CCCCCCCCCTCTTACCCCGAGGAGGGCCACAACCGCCATTTATACAAAATTGAGTTCCCTTGGCCCAAGGATGCTCCAGACTAAATAAGGATAAAATCCCTTAATCTCTACGATAGAAGAAGGATTTTAAAGATTAACCTCTATTTCCCCTATTGGGCCCTGCCCCTATGCCCCCAGGGGGGGCACACCCACTGTTTATACAAAATTGAGTCCCCTTGGCCTATGGATGCTCCAGACCAAATTTAGTCAAAATCTACCTGGCTGTTCAGGACTAGTTGCGTTTTAAAGGAAAAGTTGACGGACGGACGACGGACGCTGCGGCATGGCAAAAGCTCACCATGGTCCTTTGTTCCAGGTGAGCTAAAAAAGCAGAGGACTACAACATCTGGATCCCGTCATTAGAGGTTTACCTCATTTACATGTTTCCACCTCCTAAGGAGGTCATTGTCAGAACAAAGGCAGATTTCATGAATTTCTATAATGTAATTTTCTTAACTAAATGTATAATCTGATATGAGAGTTGCCTGAGTTTAATGAGCAGTAAATCTTAAAAAGGAATATCGAAGTCCATATTACTATGATTAACAGGCACTTTACACAGTGGTCTAATTATAGAACTCTTTGATAGGTGAATGTAATGGTATAATACATCTGTAAGTCTGCATACATATACATATACCTGAGGCTAAGTTGAAAGACCGTCCCTTACTACTGTCTTTAGGTGGAGGAGACCACCAATTGAGCAGGGATCCAACCAGCGGCACTTGTCTAAAAACACCCTGTAATAGATAAACCTTGATAGTCATTCCTCTGTGATCACAAGCATTCACGGTCTCAACTTAAAATTCAACTAGAGGATTTCTAAGATTATCAGCTAGATGATATCAAAGATGATTAGTTTACTGTTGAAAGTCAATGAAAACAAATTAACCAGAAACTCTTGAAAATCAAAGTGCCGAGAGCACTCAGGGATGCTGTGCATGAAGGAGTCAAATAATGGAATAAAGGAGGTGGTATGGCAGTAAATAATAAAGAACATGTTGTAATCATAATTTTTTTTTTTTATATATATATAACAAGCAGAGCATTGCTAAATCAATATAGGTCCCTTACTGGCTACCATTAGCAGCATAAAAATAAAAACCGAGATTTTATTATTTCCAGTGCGTGTAATCACGGACTTATGCAAGTCCCTTGTGTATCTCTCCTTTTCTCGATATTGTAACGAAGGTTAAAGACCTATATAATTATTCAGTTTCTGGTTAATGTGAATAATATGTATATATGGTTTTAATTTTTGATGTTTAATATGCTATATTCACGAAGCACTTGTATTATACTAATCGGGCCATTATCTAGAGACTGTATTGGGAAGCTATCTACAAACTCGTTAGGCACAGCTGCTGTTGCATTGGGAAGCTATCTACCAAATCGTTAGGCACAGCTCCTGTTGCATTGGGAAGCTATCTATAAACTTGTTAGGCACAGCTGCTGTTGGATTGGGAAGCTATCTATAAACTTGTTAGGCACAGCTGCTGTTGGATTGGGAAGCTATCTATAAACTTGTTAGGCACAGCTGCTGTTGTATTGGGAAGCTATCTACAAACTCGTTAGGCACAGCTCCTGTTTCATTGGGAAGCTATCTATAAACTTGTTTGGCACAGCTGCTGTTGTATTGGGAAGCTATCTACAAACTCGTTAGGCACAGCTCCTGTTTCATTGGGAAGCTATCTATAAACTTGTTAGGCACAGCTGCTGTTGTATTGGGAAGCTATCTATAAACTTGTTAGGCACAGCTGCTGTTGCATTGGAAAGCTATCTATAAACTCGTTAGGCACAGCTGCTGTTGCATTGGGAAGCTATCTATAAACTTGTTAGGCACAGCTGCTGTTGCATTGGGAAGCTATCTATAAACTCATTAGGCACAGCTGCTGTTGCATTGGGAAGCTATCTATAAACTTGTTTGGCACAGCTGCTGACGGCTACTTTAGTATAAGTCAACATTCTCTTTCACTTGGAGACTTTCCATTGAGACAAAGAAAACACGAAGCCTACTTTATCAAGGACAGTTATCAAACAGTCGTTCAACAAGTCGCGAGCATAAAACTACGCAATGATGGACAAGGGGAGAAAACTCTTACACACATACCTCAGAGTATTGGAATACCAGGCGTAGTAATTTGAACCAAATATAGTTCGGAACTTTCACTGATTAAAAACGTCACTGTTAAAGATCTTTACATATTTTCTTTGATTTTTTTGTCTTATTCAGATATATTTGACCTTATTACAGCAAAATGCCTCGTAATCTGAGATTGATCTAGTTCATGATGCTCACTGAAAAAACTCACCTTTTCGTAAAATTTAAACATTTTTTCTTCGATATATTGATAGTTTTCATATGTATTTCATCAATTTATAGCATTAATCATACCATGAAATAATCAACACGGCATTTAAAGATCTCCCGCAGAAGAAGAAAGTCTGTTGTTTGGTTTTGATTTGCACAGACTTGTCGAGGACCGCAATGAATGCACTACACAGCATCCAAAAAATGCTATTTCCCTTCAATTAATATTGCTGTTAATATAAATTAAGTCATGAAATAAACTTTGCAAAAATATAAAATTGTACCAGGTAATACTGGTCTTAATTACCATCACATTGTTAATTTGTCTCAACACCAGACTGACACAAACAAATCCTATATGTGAACTATAACTTGCAGTGACAAATTAATTGATTTGAGAAAGAGATAAGTTTTACCTCATTTTGAAGTTTTTCCAGATTTTCCTTTTCAAGATCCTTGTTTGCAGCCTCAATTCCATGTTTCACAACTTCTGCCAGAGTTTCCAAGTACTGCAAAATACACACAGAACTTACATCACCATAACACATGGACAATAGTGGGACATTTATCTATTACATCTATTTTGCTTACTGTTGAGTAGTATTTTTCTTTTGTATTAACCAAGGATGAAAGTCATGCCTTAAAAATTCAGTAAAATATTATATACTTTACACTGCTCTTTAACAGATCGCAATTATACACCAGTTTTGATGCATACAGGTAAATATATAAATTGTCTGTCATCAATATTGACTACTACCACAAACATTACATAATACACCAACTTCGAATTCATTACTGGAGAATTATTGATAGAATGGTGTACATGTGTCTTTAAGCCACAGTGATGGAAGATGAGGTTGCCTGTGTATGTGGCTGTACAAGCAGTGTGGTGTATGGTGTTGGGATGTTGATAATCCCTTTTAACACACAATGTTTCTAGCCTGTCTGTAGTACAAGCTGCTCCCCTTCTACACAACACCTCCTCCAAACCTCTCATTCTTTTCCTTCAACCATATTTTTATCACATCCATGATATGAATCCATGCATACCTTTTTTTAACTCACTCCCGCTTTCAAACATTCCTGTTTCATTTTCGGGAGCATTGAAAGATACATTCTTTAGAGTCCTCCAAGTAAATAATTGTTGCCTACTCCCTTCCTTTCTCCAATATCACTCAACAAAACAAGAGGCCCAATGGGCCTGAATCGCTCACCTGTTATTAATCTCACACTTGTAAACTTAAAAGTGGAATAAAATTTAGCTACAGACAGACTATCAGTGTTTGATTCATAAGAACCTATTAAAAGATTTACACATATGACGCCTGTGACCTTGAATGTCGAACAAGGACATTAGGTTGAACAAAGTTTAAAGTCTTCCTTCCTGCCATGCTTTTGGCAAAATATCATTACCCTGGACCTTTTGGTTATACAGAACAAGTCATTTAAAAATTAAATCATATATTGACCACTGTGACCTTGAATATGGATGAAGGTCATTCATTTTGACAAAATTGGTAGCCCTTCATCCCAGCCTGTTAATGACCAAATATCATCACCCTTGGCCTTTGGCTAATTGCATTGAGAAGAAGTCGTTTAAAGGTTTTAAACATATTTGACCCCAGTGACCTTGAATATAAATAAAGATCATTCATTTGAATAAACTTGGTTGCCCTTTATCCCAGCATGCTACTGGCCAAATATCTTAACCCTAGGCCTCTTAGTTATTCAGAAGAAGTTGTTTAAAGGTTTTAACATATTTGACCCCTGTGACCTTGAATATAAGTCAAGGTCATTCATTTGAACAAACTTGGTAGCCCTTTATCCCAGCCTGCTCCTGGCCAAATATCATTATCCTAGGACTTGCGGTTATTGAGAAGTTGCTTAAAGGATTTTAACATATTTGACCCCTGTGACCTTGACTTTAAGTCAAGGTCATTAATTTGAACAAACTTGGTAGTCCTTCATCCTAACATGTTACTGGCCAAATAGCATCATCCTTTGCCTTTTGGTTATTGAGAAGAAGTTGTTTAAAGGTTTTAACATATTTGATCCCTGTGACCTTGAATATAAGTAAAGGTCATTCATTTGAACAAACTTGGTAGCCCTTCATCCCAGCATGTTACTGGCTAAATATCATCACCCTAGGCCTCTCTGTTATTCAGAAGAAGTTGTTTAAATGTTTTAAACATATTTGACCTCAGTGACCTTGAATATGATTTAAAATCATTTATTTGAACAAACTTGGTAGCCCTTCATCCAAGCATGTTACTGGCCAAATATCATCACTCTAGGCCTCTTGGTTATTCATAAGAAGTTGTTTAAAGGTTTTAAACATATTTGATCCCTGTGACCTTGAATATAAATCAAGGTCATTCATTTGAACAAACTTGGTAGCCCTTTATTTCAGCATGTTACTGGCCAAATATCATCACCCTAGGCCTTTCGGATATTCAGAAGAAGTTGTTTAAAGGTTTTAAACATGTTTGACCCCAGTGACCTTGAATATAAATCAAGGTCATTTATTTGAACAAACTTGGTAGCCCTTCATTTCAGCATGTTACTGGCCAACTATCATCACCCTAGGCCTCTTGGTTATTCAGAAGAAGTTGTTTAAAGGTTAAAAACATATTTGACCCCTGTGACCTTGAATATAAGTCAAGGTCATTTATTTGAACAAACTTGGTAGCCCTTCATCCCAGCATGTTACTGGCCAAATATCAACACCCTAGGCCTCTTGGTTATTCAGAAGAAGTTGCTTAAAGATTTTAATGTATTTGACCCCTGTGACCTTGAAAATAGATGAAGGTCATTTATTTGAACAAACTTGGAAGCCCTTCATCCCAGCATGCTTCTGGCAAAATATCATCACCCCAGGCCTTTTGGTTAATGAGAAGAAGTTGTTTAAAGTAAAAAGTTGACGCCGGACGGACGCCGGACGCCGGATGCCGCACCATGCCATAAGCTCACTTGGCCCTTTGGGCCAGGTGAGCTAAAACAGTTACTGGTACCCCTCACAGCTTCCACTACACCACAAAAGATGCTTGTCCCCATTCAAGCTTCTTATACAACAAATAACTGACCTTAGACGAATCCTCCACTTCCTTGCCAGTGACACAGACCAGTTCTAACAGGGACTCTATGGAAGTATCTTCTGTTATCAGTCCAAACTTCACACACGCAACATCATTGTCTGTGAAACCTGAAAGGAATATTGACAACTGTAATTCAAGGTTAGCAAATTGTGAACTGTATATTTTTATCAGCTAAGTATAAAGTGTACTTTAATATTACTGGGTGGTATCATATACTTTATATCTGAATCAGACTAGGACCATTAATGACACACAATTCACCTAAAGTGGGGTATACAGAAGCATGGCCCATGTATCTTACATCTCCTTAATTATATATACCGTCTTATACATTACATCTCAGAATAAGGAGTTTCATCTAATAATTCAGAATGATCTGAATATTATTGATTAGTATTGTGTGCTTTACAGATTTGTCATCAAAAAATTAAGTAAGTGACCTTTACAAAGATTATAATTTTTAGTGTGGAACTTAACCCTTGATTGATCAACTTGAATTTTCCAGTAAGAGTAAAACCTTAGGTGTGAATTAAAAACAGATCCTTTATTAGGACAGATGATGCATATTCTAGTAATAGTAATCTGTAAAGCATTGTTAACATCTTCATAAAGATATGTAATATACTTTAGGGAAAACAAGGCAGTACCCAGTGATATGACAGGAAACCAAACCTATAAAATGAAATCACTTACCCATTGAGAAGGCAGTATCTTGAGATTTAAGCTTCTGAACAAGTTCTGAATTGATAATGTGGATTTCCTTGACAGCCTCCTCTGGTAAGTCATCTCCTTTGTTCTGCCACGATTCTGGTATATATCTACACACAAGAAATCAGCACAATACATGTACACCTGGTATATATCTACACACAAGAAATCAGTACATCTGGCATATATCTACACACAAGAAATCAGTACATCTGGCATATATCTACACACAAGAAATCAGTACATCTGGCATATATCTACACACAAGAAATCAGTACATCTGGCATATATCTACACACAAGAAATCAGTACATCTGGCATATATCTACACACAAGAAATCAGTACATCTGGCATATATCTACACACAAGAAATCAGTACATCTGGCATATATCTACACACAAGAAATCAGTACATCTGGCATATATCTACACACAAGAAATCAGTACATCTGGCATATATCTACACACAAGAAATCAGTACATCTGGCATATATCTACACACAAGAAATCAGTACATCTGGCATATATCTACACACAAGAAATCAGTACATCTGGCATATATCTACACACAAGAAATCAGTACAATACATCTGTGCAAATACTTACAAGTATTTATGGGAATAAGGAGATTATAACCCTTAAATTCCTCACAGTTTTGATAAAAACTGTTGGAAAAACTTTCCAGACAAAGTTATTCTAGAGATTTTTTAAAAGGGACATAACTCACATAATGACGACATCAGCGAAGCTTTGATATTTGGATAAAACCTATAAGAGCTTTCTCCAGACAGATGAATGGACAGACTTGATTCAGGTATACTCCCCCTTATTAACATTGATGATACACATGTGGGCACAAAACTTACCTAAATAGTTTCAGCACTTAAAATGTATGATTCAAACACTTCAGACAGGATACTTTTCATATTGTGTGTGCTTAATTTAACAACCCATGCCAATACTTACTGTACGACCCCTAGCCCTGCCCAGCTTGGCATATCCAGTAATCTCAGTCTCGATTCTCTTGATGTCATGGCCTTCAGCTTGTCACGGTTTAAAACAGTGGCATCCAGAATGGCCTTAAAACAAAGCTCCGAGTGTTAAAACATTACTCTGTACTACTACTGTTTACTTGTACTGGACTTTACAAAGCTCCGAGGGTTAATACATTACTCTGTACTACTACTGTTTACTTGTACTGGACTTTACAAAGCTCCGAGGGTTAATACATTACTCTGTACTACTACTGTTTACTTGTACTGGACTTTACAAAGCTCCGAGGGTTAATACATTACTCTGTACTACTACTGTTTACTTGTACTGGACTTTACAAAGCTCCGAGGGTTAATACATTACTCTGTACTACTACTGTTTACTTGTACTGGACTTTACAAAGCTCCGAGGGTTAATACATTACTCTGTACTACTACTGTTTACTTGTACTGGACTTTACAAAGCTCCGAGGGTTAATACATTACTCTGTACTACTACTGTTTACCTGTACTGGACTTAACCTTTACATGTTCAGGTTTTGAAATCAGAGCTTGCTACAATTGTTCATTTTTTTCTGTTTCTAACTGTACTAAAGTCAAACAAATGTTATACAACACACACACATGTATAAAAGAAACATCTTTCCTAATTGAACATAAGTGAGAGGCTCAATGTCTTGCATCACACACCTGGCTATTTTGAAATTGATCAGTATCATTCATTAATCTGCCCAGTTGTTTGGGAGTATGGCCCCATAGAGTTTTATAAAAATTTATATATCTTATGATCTCGTAAGGATGCTTCCACCACAATTTAGTTAAAGCCTGCCCAGTAGTTTGAGAAGAGATATTGTATGAAAATAAATGGCAATTTGACCCCTTTTGACATAACCCCTCAACCCCCAGAAGGCCAAGACTCATTATTTGTAAAACTTTAATCCTCTTGGGCTATGAATGCTACCATAAAATCTGGTTGAAACTTGTAATTTGAGAAAATATGTCATTTAAAACCAATTTGACCCCGTTAATCAGCCCACAGGATCAGTGTTAACTTCTTTATTGACATTTATTGATCCTCATAAGATGTTACCATTAAATTTTGGTAGAATTCTTTTCAGTTGTTAGTGTAAAGATGTTGTTTTCCTATATATATAGTAGCCTCCCCTTAACTTCTGTTTGGATATAACTGTAGCACAGTTGGGCCAGGAAACTCCAATTGACCAGCTGATAGCTCAATCAGTAAAAGTACAACAACACGAAGTCCAGGGTACAAATCCTGGTCCAGCCCCCATTTTTTTCACTCAGAACACTGATGTTGATAATAATTTGTTTATTTCATCTTTATTTTTTTCTCATGAAAGTCCCACAAGATATGATTTTATTTAAAAATGATTTATTAAAGCCATCGTCATTCTGGGGAAAACAGTTTCCAACACTTAGTTACAGTTTCTGGCAGTGGGACGGGGATCCTTTAATAATAATTTGTTTATTTCATCTTTATTTTTTTCTCATGAAAGTCCCACAAGATATGATTTTCTTTAAAAATGATTTATTAAAGCCATCGTCATTCTGGGGAAAACAGTTTCCAACCCTTAGTTACAGTTTCTGGCAGTGGGACTGGGATCCTTTACTTAGTTCCAGTTTCTGGCAGTGGGACTGGGATCCTTTACTTAGTTCCAGTTTCTGGCAGTGGGACTGGGATCCTTTACTTAGTTCCAGTTTCTGGCAGTGGGACTGGGATCCTTTACTTAGTTACAGTTTCTCGCAGTGGGACGGGGATCCTTAATGCAAAAGTTGATGGACAACAGACGACTTACAGACCAAGCACCACCGATAATAATTTGTTTATTTCATCTTTATTTTTTTCTCATGAAAGTCCCACAAGATATGATTTTATTTAAAAATGATTTATTAAAGCCATCGTCATTCTGGGGAAAACAGTTTCCAACCCTTAGTTACAGTTTCTGGCAGTGGGACCAGGATCCTTTACTTAGTTACAGTTTCTGGTAGTGGGACGAATCCTTTACTTAGTTACAGTTTCTGGCGGTGGGACGGGGATCCTTTACTTAGTTACAGTGTCTGGCAGTGGGACGGGGATCCTTTACATAGTTACAGTTTCTGGCAGTGGGACGGAGATCCTTTACTTAGTTACAGTTTCTGGTAGTGGGACGAATCCTTTACTTAGTTACAGTTTCTGGCGGTGGGACGGGGATCCTTTACTTAGTTACAGTGTCTGGCAGTGGGACGGGGATCCTTTACTTAGTTCCAGTTTCTGGCAGTGGGACTGGGATCCTTTACTTAGTTACAGTTTCTCGCAGTGGGACGGGGATCCTTAATGCAAAAGTTGATAGACAACAGACGACTTACAGACCAAGCACCACCGATAATAATTTGTTTATTTCATCTTTATTTTTTTCTCATGAAAGTCCCACAAGATATGATTTTCTTTAAAAATGATTTATTAAAGCCATCGTCATTCTGGGGAAAACAGTTTCCAACCCTTAGTTACAGTTTCTGGCAGTGGGACAGGGATCCTTTACTTAGTTACAGTTTCTCGCAGTGGGACGGGGATCCTTAATGCAAAAGTTGATGGACAACAGACGACTTACAGACCAAGCACCACCGATAATAATTTGTTTATTTCATCTTTATTTTTTTCTCATGAAAGTCCCACAAGATATGATTTTCTTTAAAAATGATTTATTAAAGCCATCGTCATTCTGGGGAAAACAGTTTCCAACCCTTAGTTACAGTTTCTGGCAGTGGGACAGGGATCCTTTACTTAGTTACAGTTTCTCGCAGTGGGACGGGGATCCTTAATGCAAAAGTTGATGGACAACAGACGACTTACAGACCAAGCACCACCGATAATAATTTGTTTATTTCATCTTTATTTTTTTCTCATGAAAGTCCCACAAGATATGATTTTATTTAAAAATGATTTATTAAAGCCATCGTCATTCTGGGGAAAACAGTTTCCAACCCTTAGTTACAGTTTCTGGCAGTGGGACTGGGATCCTTTACTTAGTTACAGTTTCTGGCAGAGGGACGGGGATCCTTTACTTAGTTACAGTTTCCGGCAGTGGGACGGGGATCCTTTACTTAGTTACAGTGTCTGGCAGTGGGACGGGGATCCTTTACTTAGTTCCAGTTTCTGGCAGTGGGACTGGGATCCTTTACTTAGTTACAGTTTCTGGTAGTGGGACGAATCCTTTACTTAGTTACAGTTTCTGGCGGTGGGACGGGGATCCTTTACTTAGTTACAGTGTCTGGCAGTGGGACGGGGATCCTTTACTTAGTTCCAGTTTCTGGCAGTGGGACTGGGATCCTTTACTTAGTTACAGTTTCTGGCAGTGGGACGGGGATCCTTAATGCAAAAGTTGATAGACAACAGACGACTTACAGACCAAGCACCACCAACTAACATCAGTTCAATACTCTGTACCAGTTGAGATAATAAATATGTTGACTATGATCTATAGAGCATAAATAACTTACAATTTGTGTGTTCAGACATTGTAGTAGTGCCTCCACGTCTTCAGTAACTGTTCCCCTGGCTGTAACAGACATTTACCAAATATATATTCACCATAAGAAGGTAGACCCAAATCATATCGCTCTTTGCAAAAAATACTACTAAATCAATTATTACATATATAGCCAATAAATGTGTCAACAGTTCAGTTATTACAATGATGAAGCATTAGAATAAATAGCCATGGATTTGTTTTGTCTACAGATGATTAATATTTTAGGTCAAATAGCATCAAAAGACTTATTCCAAACTTAAAATACAGTAGTTTATTTACGTAAAGTAATGATAAAGAAATGGACTAAATACCCTGTGCACTGTCCAGAGGAGAGAACCGGATACACACGCCCTCATTTTCAACCTCGGCTACATGTAGTTCAATACCAGGATTCTCCGCCTGTAGTGTCTCCCCAAGCTGAAAGTAAACCAGCAACTCATGTTAGTAATTCAAATATTGAACGACATTTTTTATTTTTTAAAGAAAATTAACAAGATATCCCAGAGGGATCTTGGCGCCCACCTTTGTACCATCTTCATTAGTTCTTTGTCAGTTCGATATTTTCTCTTCTTTCCTCCTATCTGTTTGATCGAGTCATGTTAACAGTAAATGCTCCTTGAGGTAACTTTTGATCTAAACTTAATACTGATGTGTATGAAAGCCAACCTTCAAAGTGAGTTTGTCATTTCACATATTTACTAGTACAGTACTTAATGTGAAAGAAATAGAATTGATCATTGCAATATGAGAAATATCTGTTTAGTTCTTCTTTTAATCCATTTTGTTTTTATGATCAGTCTCAAAATATAACATGCACAACGAGAGATCAAGGGGAACCTCCATATAAAATTTGAGAAAGACCCCTCTGGTACTTCCAGAGAAGTAGCGATAACAAACTTTCAATATCAAAATTCAAAATGACTGCCTATCGGCCATGTTGTTTATCCGATCAGTCTCAAAAGTTGCCCGGCACAGCTAAGGACCAAGGGAAGCCTACATATAAAATTTGAGAAAGATCCCTCTGGTGCTTCTTGAGATATACTGATAACAAACTTTCACTATCAAAATCCAAGATGGCTACCTGTCGGCCATGTTGTTTATCCAATCAGTCTCAAAAGTTGCCCTGCACAGCTAAGGACCAAGGGGAACCTACATATAAAATTTGAGAAAGATCCCTCTGGTACTTCTTGAGAAATACCGATAACAAGAATTGTTTAAGGACTGACGACGGACCACGGACGCAGGGCGATTTGAATAGCCCACCATCAGATGATGGTGGGCTAAAAAGCCAGCTAAATATAGTATAGAACAGGGAATTGTTATCAGTTCCTATAACAACATTAGCGTATATATCACTGGAATCCTGGCTTGAATATGAAAATCAAGATGAAGATGTTTAGCCTCTCACTAACTGATCCACCAGAACAATGATCACACAACATTATATGTATGTTACCCACACATTGAGAGCATCAACACTTACCCACGCATTGAGAGCATCAACACTTACCCACACATTGAGAGCATCAACACTTACCCACACATTGATAGCATCAACACTTACCCACACATTGAGAGCATCAAAGTAAATTGAGGAGTTGGATTCCTCCGGTGTGTTGTCCTCTGTTGTCAGCGAGGTAGAAGAGTAGGGAGCGATCTGTAAGCCTATCAAACACAAACACCTTAACAATGATGAATAAACACATTTACATATCGTCTACAGCACCTTGTGCTGACTGATACTGCCTCTATATCATCCTAACTTTATACCACTACTGACTTCATGGTTACAAAAGTATTAATTTGTAATGATGCTGTATTGGTTAACACTTTTTAACATTTCCAAACACATTCAAGCTGGAACAATTTACATATCAAAGTGAACACCATTACTACGTTGCACTGCTATAAAGCCTTTGGTAAGTTAACTTACCTTCCTCTTTTTCTTCAATATATCTGAATACCACTGTTGGTGATACAATTTCAAACACAAGCTGAAAAATAAAAGCAGATATTAAGAAACATACAATTTTATGTTTAAAACCAATGACACTTTGTTCTATAAGCTAGGAATCAGTTAAAATACAGAAATCATGAAAAAGTATCAGGCAAACTTCTTAAATTCAAGCAGTATTTAAATCTAAATAATCATTTTTGTTTACAGCCGTCAGAACAGGTAACCAAGAACAACACCTCTTCTCAGCTTCTTACAGCACTAGGTGAGGTTTTAACAAAGATGATCCCGGGAATGACAGGCCTTGCTTTAATTCAGCACATCAAATTCAATTCACTGGCAACAAGAGGACTAGTTTGGACCCTGGCTATTTATATCACTCAAGTGACCTAGCTATGTAAAACTCACCAGCGCATTGATAGCTCGTGTGATCATTCCACGTATGGTATTGGCAGGAGTATCGTCTTCTTTCTTCTCCTTTGTCTGTAAATATAATATCATATAAATCTTCTCCTTTGTCTGTAAATATAATATCATATAAATCTTCTCCTTTGTCTGTAAATATAATATCATATAAATCTTCTCCTTTGCAATAATCAGCTACTCTGTCAATAAATAATATATAATATACAATCAATTGAAATATAAAAACAACAATTTTCCTACATATAAAAACTACAATTTTCCTACATATAAAAGGAAATTTTACACTCAAAATAGAACTCTCTACAACTCTTTGCAGTTGATGAGTGAAGAATTTTATTTCATTTACAGTATCATCTAGTGATGATGCTCTGATTTTTTTGATTAACTCATTTTTTTCACTACATGATCACAACACTGCACTTCTTCATGTACAGTAACAATCAATTGAAACAATAGCATCAGAGACTAGTCAAAGGAAATCTAAGTAACCATGATCAGTCTGTGTATACCTACCACAGGTATAATAGTGGTCACCAACGTTACCGTGGTCAGTCCCTGTATATACCTACTACAGGAATAATAGTGGTCGCCACAGTTACTGTGGTCAGTCCCTGTATATCCCTACTACATGTATAATAGTGGTCACCCAATTTACTGTGGTCGGTCTCTGTATATACCTACTGCAGGTATAATAGTGGTCACCACAGTTACTGAGGTCAGTCCCTGTATATACCTACTACAGTTATAATAGTGGTCACCACATTTACTGTGGTCGGTCCCTGTATATACCTACTACACGTATAATAGTGGTCACCACATTTACTGCGGTCGGTCTCTGTATATACCTACTACAGGCATAATAGTGGTCACCACATTTACTGTGGTCAGTCCCTGTATATACCTCCTACATGTATAATAGTGGTCACCACATTTACTGTGGTCAGTCCCTGTATATACCTCCTACATGTATAATAGTGGTCACCACATTTACTGCGGTCGGTCTCTGTATATACCTACTACAGGGATAATAGTGGTCACCACAGTTACTGTGGCCAGTCCCTGTATATACCTACTACAGGTACAATAGTGGTCACCAATGTTACCTTGGTCAGTCCCTGTATATACCTACTACACGTATAATAGTGGTCACCACATTTACTGTGGTCAGTCCCTGTATATACCTCCTACATGTATAATAGTGGTCACCACATTTACTGCGGTCGGTCTCTGTATATACCTACTACAGGTATAATAATGGTCACCAACGTTACTGTGGTCAGCCCCTGTATATACCTCATAAAGGTATAATAGCGCATACAACAGTAACTGTGGTCAGTCCCTGTATATACCTACTACACGTATAATAGTGGTCACCACATTTACTGTGGTCGGTCCCTGTATATACCTACTACACGTATAATAGTGGTCACCACATTTACTGCGGTCGGTCTCTGTATATACCTACTACAGGGATAATAGTGGTCACCACAGTTACTGTGCTCAGTCCCTGTATATACCTACTACAGGGATAATAGTGGTCACCACAGTTACTGTGGTTAGTCCCTGTATATACCTACTACAGGTACAATAGTGGTCACCAATGTTACCTTGGTCAGTCCCTGTATATACCTACTACAGTTATAATAGTGGTCACCACATTTACTGTGGTCAGTCCCTGTATATACCTACTACACGTATAATAGTGGTCACCACATTTACTGTGGTCAGTCCCTGTATATACCTCCTACATGTATAATAGTGGTCACCACATTTACTGTGGTCAGTCCCTGTATATACCTACTACATGTATAATAGTGGTCACCACATTTACTGTGGTCGGTCTCTGTATATACCTACTACAGGTATAATAGTGGTCACCACAGTTACTGTGGCCAGTCCCTGTATATACCTACTACAGGTATAATAGTGGTCACCACATTTACTGCGGTCGGTCTCTGTATATACCTACTACAGGTATAATAGTGGTCACCAATGTTACCTTGGTCAGTCCCTGTATATACCTACTACAGGTATAATAGTAAATACCACAGTTATTGTGGTCAGTCCCTGTATATACCTACTACAGGTATAATAGTGGTCACCAAAGTTACTGTGGTCAGCACCTGTACACTTACCACCTGTCTTATAGCCTTCAGCCTCTCTAGTTTCGTGTGTAATTGTTCAGCCTACAAATGAAAACAATATATTTTGTACATTAGCATAAGACATCTTTAAACAAAACTTTCTGTAAAACCTTTTTGGTTAGTTTTATGTTCACATCACAGATTTTCTCAAAAAATATCATAAAACATTTATTGTGGTGATTGATCAGACACTTGTGGCTTGTTGAGTCACTGGTTTAGCTTTTATATAATACACCTCTGCTCTATCTTCATAGAACATTTTCAGCCAATGTGTCAAGTATGTCAGAAACTGAAGAAGATGATATTGTATCCATTTAACAACCTGCATTATTTATTATCTATTTGTTAAAAAAAACCACATGTATATCATCTTTATGTATAACATCATTACTAGTGTAAAATGAAACATTTTTTCCCTGACAAATTGTTGCCATTTGGCTGATTAAAACTTTGCCTAGCATTGAATGTGTCCTCCCACTTTGCTTTAAAGCTTCATAACTACATTTCCTTCTATATACTGCATGTATAATAATCTAATTTTTCATACCAGTGCCAATTGCAATCATGATATACTTTATTCAACTTCATAGCTCTCTACCGTAATAAAGATGCTTTCAACACAAAATCTCTATCTGAAGTACAAACATTTATCTTTGCAATCAACATCACTACACGGTTGTATTCCCCTTAACTTCTTAAAAATGGATATAATTTTGGATAGAAAATACAAATACCTAGCTACAACAATCATACCCTGCCTGGATTCCAATGAATTTGATTAAGTATTACAAAATTTGTTAAAATGAAAAATGTTTAAATGTTAAAACTCTTAATAGCGGTTCACACTAAATATTAGGGAGTCCAGTAAAGTAAAATCTCACCAAGTCACATGACTGTTTGACACGCTCCACAATACCATCATGACCCAGACTCTGCAGACAGATCCAGATGGGCAGGCAATTAAGCTTGATCTGTGGGTTAAAGGTGTTGAGTCCAGCGGCATGCACCAGAGCTGGGTCTGATGATTTGTACAGGGTCTAGAGACTAGGTCAAGGACTTGGTACTTTGTTTGACATATGTAAAACACAACCTTCCTTTTTACTGTTGATCACACACTGGACAGACAAGATCACACACTGGACATAGTGTAACATTGTGTAATCCAACCAACTGTACATGAAGTTTACTGAAATTTTTATTGCGCACATTTTTAACAGTATGATAAACTTATAAAAATCAACTATTTTGAGCATTAAATTCTTCTGTGTTTGGAACTAATGTTGATGTTCAGACACTATTTACGATGTGCTCTAACTAGCTAGTACGACACAGCGATGTAAAGGATACTGCGTGAGGAAGCCCGGGAATCCCCAACCACTTGCCCAGGGAGACAGTCATACTATCACCCGCCTTACACGACAGTATCGACGTGGGCACAGACACCAGTGTCAGGGTAGCAAGGTTGTTTCTGGAAACAGAACATGTGATATTGCATCTTATGATGTGCATAATATAAGTCTATTACTGTTATTGGGTTATAATAATTATTTAAGACAGCAATTTTTTTAATGTTGTGTTTTCAATGAAAAGAACATCCACTGGTATATTGCATTGTGTCTGCCATTGTGTAGAGATGCCATGTGCCGCTATATAGGTCTTAACATTAAATTATTATTTACGTAAAGTAAAGGACTGAAAACACATGCCACCTAACACATACACTCACCCTTCAACATGGAGCCAGATGGAATTCTTCCTACAAATGTCCTGTAGATGATCAACATCATCCACCTGGCCTGTGAGTGGTGTTCCTAAAACACAGAGATGTAAAATCTTGAACAGTATTAACATTTGCCAGGACATCAAATACATTAACACTCTAAACCATATCAAACAAACAGAATATTATAGGACCATTCTGTTGCTTATTTTCTTTAATACTTCTTTAGGATATCTGAAATACTGATTACTCAAAACAAAACAAAAAGCATGAATTCTGATCCTAACATCCTGAGCGAGTCATTTACTTTGTTAGAGAAAAAAAAGTTAAAAAATTTGCTGACAACAGTGATAAAAATTGTCTAAATAAGCATGAATATATTGAGTCAAATACACATTCTCCTCTAATACTATACAAAACTATAGACAGTTAATTGATTTATACAGCAGTGTAGGACAGTCGGGCCAGCCCAAAAAACATTTTTGGGCGAGTACAAAAATTATTTCACAGGCCCAAAATGAATATTGGTAGCCCAATTATTTTACTAAGATTTTTTTCAGTGTTGAGCAATAAAAAATGCCAATAAAGCAATATAAATATTTATTCTTCAATCAAACCCTCCCGACACATAACCCTAAAAACCCTCCCCTCGTTCCTATAGTCTTCATTGTCACTGAGTTCACCTTTTACAACTGCAGACGACTTTGTTATATTTAGATAAAAAAAAAGTCACGTGATCCCCCTGAAGATCAGCTGGCTATTTTGGGGCGACTTAGGGTTCATTACATGATATCTCCTGCGTACAGGACAGATAAGTCTTAAAATTTTGCCTATATGGTTAAAAATGCAGCTTCTTTGGATTGTGTGTGAAAAAAACACGATAATTTGTGTGACATCGCACAATACACACGCTTTGGCGAGAATTGGTCGGCAACCAGTACTGGTGATACGTCAGACCAAACAACATAAAAAAGTAACTTACAGCGAAGAAAACTTACGACTTATAAAAATACATTAGTTAACTTACTTAAATCCCCAGCCCTTGTTTGTATCCGCCATGTTGACTGTCTGTGTCAATTCTGATGCACTTGCATGTTTTAACGGCGTGACCCAGAGTACAGGATTTCCGAAAATGGGTGATCCGAAGTTGGGGTGGTTAACTCATGGGAGTAAACTACGATTTTGATAATAATGATGTACTCGCCCAGTGATTTATTTTTGGACCAGTAACTATCCATCTTTCTACAACTTCTAGTCGCCCAATCAAGGTTTTGGTCGCCTTTGTCGACCAGGCGAAAGGCGACCAGGTGACCGGCTGTGTCCTACGCTGTACAGTTATGTGGAACTTATACTTTTTTTTTCTCTTTTAGTACAGAACTATAGTTCTTAAGCAAAACAATACAATCTGTGGATCCTTAAATTCCAAGGGTTTTCTAAAACTCTAGTGCAAATGTGGAAAATCCACGAATAACAAACCTGCATATGCAACAAGCAAGGCTGGAGTTTTAGCTGCTGCTATGTCATCCTGAATCAGCTTCTCCAACATGGATATGTCCTTGTAACAAAACAACCATTCCATTAGTGTCTTACATTTTCTTTTATCTTAATTTCACCCATATATCCTGTATGTTCAATTAAAACAAAAAGCTTGGTGAATTGAAAAGTGAAAAATTAATTATACTGGTTCATAAAAACAGTAACATTACACATAAAAGTAAGCCTAATCCATTTAGAGATTTCAGTGTGAGTCACGGAGACAAATAAAGGCAGTATCTGTATGCAATATTAATTTACTGTAAGAGTCTTTAACAGTCTTACAGTACTGACATTATTACACCTATCAAGTAAACACTATCCGAGTCGCTTCAAATTAAAGCTAGGATGCAAAAGTTTGTGACAAACATTACCATTGATTTATAATTCAGCCCTCATTCTACCCAATAACATAATATTGTATGAATTATAAGTTTCTAACTAAGGTAAAGAGAAATATGTTGCTTACCATTTTACTACTTGGATTAGCTCCAGATTCACATGGAACAGTGCTTATACTTGACATGGGAAGGCCCAGCTGTAACAAAATATTTCTAAATCTTACTAGAACAAGGCACATTGCAAACAATCAGTACAATCCCTCTTGCATGTGGTTCAATATTTAACATTTAACTGTAACTCAATTGTTATATTTCACAGTAACAACAGCATGGACAGTGTTTGAGGTATTCTAGCTTTTACCACTAGATGAAGCTAAATAAATATCTGATCAGAAACACAAACTCATTTGAGGTATTGTCATACTTTACCAAAACATGTACATGTATATGATTATGACCATGCAGGAATACATTTGCTAGAGCGACAACAAAGAGTTTCTAAAATAGTCCCGGTGTCTTTGAACTTGACCTTGGCACTCTAAAATACAAACTTGTTCAAAGTATTCTCATGTATGAACTTTGATCAAAATCCATGCAGGAATGAAATTGCTAGACTGATTGCAATTATTAAAACAAAATTCTATGAAAATTAATGATGACGTTGACCCTGAGCTGCTGAAACATTAACTTGCTTTCATGTATGACTCATACATAAAACTTGATCTAAATCCAGGAATAAAGCCACTAGAACAATGAACAAGAGGCCCATGGGCCTTAACGGTCACCTGATATATTTATACAGAGAGTTGATTTTGTTTTTAACATGTACAGAAATATTATTCAAAGTGACAAAAAACAATAAAACCACCTTACTCAATATCTAGAATACATAATGTGTACAAAGTTTCATCAAAACTTGGTCAAGGAAGTTAGTAGGAATACTTTGAATAATATCATATACCAGGTAAATGGAAGATCAGAAAAGGACATAACTCTTCAGAAAAACATCAAAATAAAAAGTATACTTTAAGCACACAACTACCTAAGGTGCTGATCATGTACAAGCTTGATAAAAGTGGTTGAGAAGTTACGTTGCATTGCTCATGACAACCTTCTGTCTACAGACGTACAGATGGACAACCTGATTCCAGTATACCCCTTTCTTCATTTCATCATACAAAAGTATGATTACAATGTTTACTGAATAACACAGCAGCCATGTGAAAATTAAACCTTTTATAGGAATTTCAGTATTAATCATAGACTTTTCATACAAGGCAATAGATAGAAAGACAGAGATAACCACAAAAGAATTAAGACATTTCAAATTATTTAATGATTGTTTAATTTGTAAGTTAGATCATAAATCATAAAAAATAAGAGATTCTTTGAAATCAATGTAATTCAGACTGATAGACTGAAGTTGCCTGAGTTGGAGGTGCTAAATCTTTTAATATTACCTTAATTTACCCTGTAGACAGAGATACCAGAAGACAGTCACTGCTGTTAGCTTATTCCCCAGAAATCAGAGACGGTAAATTACCTGCAGACAGAGGTAGGTACTGAGATTTGGACTGGCAGCAGCACTAACATAGATGACTGGAGGCCGTGAGTAGAGAGCTTCAAATCCCTCTGCAGCATATTTGGGGTACTTTTGATACAACGCAAGCCGACAAATCTTAACCAGCCCATCACGTTCATCCTCACAGAACACAGCGGATGCATCCATAAACCTTGGAGAAAATAGATGCTTTTTGTAAATACCTGTTCAGCAATAACTGTTCTAGTAAAAAAGCATATAATCATATAGTAATGTACATCTTTGATCTCCTGGAGATAATAGAATTCATTTTGGTAACAAACGAAATTTGGCAAAATACATCACCAGGGTATTGCTATTTGTTCAGTATATAATATCTACACAACATTGACATATTACTGCAACAAATATTACACCTCGGTATGGTGCTGAACCTGGATATTCCAGCAATTGTTAATAGAACAAGAGGCCCATGGGCCTTAACGGTCACCTGATATATTTATACAGAGAGTTGATTTTGTTTTCAACATGAACAGAAATATTATTCAAAGTGACAAAAAACAATAAAACCACCTTACTCAATAACTAGCA